GGGGGGGCCTAGACGGGTTAGAGCGGGGGAAGCAGGGAGCTAGGACTCCTGGGTTCTGTCCCCAGCTCTGGGAGGGGAGCGGGGTCTAGTGGTTAGAGCAGGGAGCCAGGACTCCTGGGTTCTGTCCCCAGCTCCAGGAGGGGAGCGGGGTCTAGTGGTTAGAGCGGGGGGGCAGGAAGCCAGGACTCCTGGGTTCTGTCCCCAGCTCCGGGAGGGGAGCGGGGTCTAATGGTTAGTGCAGGGGTGCAGGGGCTGGGAGCCAGGACTCCTGGGTTCTGTCCCCAGCTCTGGGCAGAAGGTCTAATGATTCCTCCGGGCGTGCAGGGAGCCCCGAGCACCCCTTCACCATGGTGCCAGCCGTGCCGACGGAGTACAGCTCCCTGGGGGCCATCATTGGCATCATCGTCCTGGTGATCCTGCTCGTGGCGCTGCTGGTGTTTTTCCTGTGCTACCGGCACTGGCAGAAGGGCAAAGAGAACAGACACCTGGCCGTGGCCTACACCACGGGGCGGACGGACAGCTCGGAGTACGCGGTGCCAGGTGAGGGTGTGGCGCGCTCGGTACGGGGGGGCTCTGCTCTCCAAGTCACCCCCCTGCTCCCGTTAGCATGGCACCTCCTAGGACACTGAGCTCAGCAAGCCCGGCAGAGTTCCCCGCCCCACTCTCAGGACTCTCGGGTGGGTCTGATCCCAGCCGCCCTGGGCTTAGCGTGGGGAATCCAGCCGGGGCCTGGCCCAGGGTGGGGAGAGGCACACGGCATGCGCAGCCCCTGGGGACAGCTAGGGGACAGGACTCCCAGGGACTTTGGCCTAACTCTGTCTGTCCCTTTCTCTGTCTGACCAGACGTCCCACCCAGCCACACCCACTACTACTCCAATCCGAGCTACCACACCCTGTCGCGGTGCGTGCCGACCTCCCCCGCCCCCAACAGCCAGGACAGGGCGAGCTCCCTCAAGGTAAGCCCCAGCCCTCGGGGGCGACACTGCTCCAGGGAAGTTCCCAGCCTTTCCGTTCGCCGGAGCCTCGAGGCACGGAGCCCCCTTGGGGACGGGCAGAGAGGAGACAGCTTGTCTATAGCGTCTCTCTGGGGCTGGGCTGGGCTGAGAATTTGCTGCAGAAATAGTTGGGGTTGTGCGGAATTGAGGTGGCCTTGCGCCCCCAGAACGTGGACCACAGCAGCCACCATCAGAAATCTGCCCTGGGGAGGACTTGAACCCCACCTCCTCAGTTCAAGGCCTGCTAGTCATGCCTCTAAACCAGGGGTGGGCAAACTACGGCCTGGGGGCTGCATCTGGCCCTTCAGACGTTTGAATCCAGTGCTCGAGCTCCTGCTGGGGAGCGGGGTCGGGGGCTTGCCCCGCTCCCCGCGTGCTGTGGCTCCACACAGCTCCCGGAAGCAGCGGCATGTCCCCCCTCCGGCTCCCATGTGTAGGGGCAGCCAGGGGGTTCCACACGCTGCCCCCATCCCTAGCGCGGCCCCCGCAGTTCCCATTGGCCAGGAACCGTGGTCAGTGGGAGCTGCGGGGACAGCATGCGGACGGGGCAGCGTGCAGAGTTGTCTGGCCGCGCCTCCGCGTAGGAGCTGGAGGGGAGACATGGCCGCTGCTTCCAGGAGCTGCTTGAGGTAAGCGTTGCCCAGAGCCTGCACCTCTGACCCCCTCCCACACCCCAACCCCCTGCCCCAGCCCTGATCCCCCTCCTGCCCGCCGAACCCCTCGGTCCAACCAGCAGCCCCAACCCCTCATCTCCAGCCCCACCCCGGAGCCTGCACCCCCAGCCAGAGCCTGCACCTGTTTCTGCACCCCAACTCTATGCCCCAGCCCAGAGCCCCCTCCCACACCCTGAACTTCTCATTTCTGGCCCCACCCCAGAGCCCTCACCCTCTCTGATGCCCCAACCCCCCAGTTTCGTGAGCATTCATGGCCCGCCATACAATTTCCATACCCAGATGTGGCCCTCGGGCCAAAACGTTTGCCCACCCCTGCGTTAAGCCATCAGGTGGGTTGTCCCCCAGCAGCGCCCCGGATGCTGGGCGCCCCCAGTCTGTGCAAATCACTTTTTCTGGCCTGGGTTTCCCAGCCTGTGCTGGTTCAAAGAGCCAGACAGACCCTCTAGTAATGTCGGAACCGTCTCTTCCCCAGCACAGAGCCGGGTGCTGGGCCCGAGCTGAGGGCCCATCCGGTCGTCTAAGCACAGTTCAGGGCAGACCAGTCCTGTCACCTGAACACCAGGGGTGTCCAAACAGCTAAGGGATGAGAACAGGCACAATGTAGAGACCATCCCTTTTATTCTGGGTGCTGTATCTCTGGAACCCGTGGGCCAAATGACCCCAAATTTGCCCCACTTGCCCCACCCCAGGACGCCATGAGGCACAGCAGTTTTTGGGGAGATCTGAAATTGCGCATGGATATTGGAGCGCTTCAAAACATCTGCTCTTAATGCGGGCGCTTGTCTCAACCTGAACTCGAGTTTGGCAAGGGCCACTCCAGAAGGAAGGGGTTCTTCATGGACACCGTGAGACCCTGTGGTTCCCGAAATCCTGGCCTGGCAAAGGGGCCACTCTGAGCAGGACCCCATGGGCAGGGGGCGGTAGGTCACTGGTGATTCCACCCCTTATTTCGGCCACAGGTGCCCTGCAACCAGCACTTCTCCAACATAAAGAACGTGGCCTACGGGCCGGACTGTAATGCCTCGCTGCCTGCCGACTGGAAGCACCACGGGGTGCCGGCGCTGAAGCCACGCGAGCGGGGTAAGAGGGGAGCCGGGCGTGGCGCCTCAGCTGGGATATGCTGGGCAGGGCCGGGCTTTAGGAGCCGGTGTGGGGAGAAGAAGTGGGATCTAGGGGTCAGAACAGGGTAGGGGGATGAGTTCTACTCCCAGTGCTGGAAGGTGAGTGGGGTTAGGAGTTGGAGATGAGGGAGCGCAGGACTCCTGGGTTCTTTTCCCATCTCTAGGAAGGGAGTGATGCCTGGTAGTTAGAGAAGGAGATTGGGAAGCGGGGGGTGGGGCTCAGGACTCCTGGGTTCTGTTCTTGGCTCAGGAAGGGGAGTGATGCCTCGTAGTTAGGGAAGGGGGGGAGGACACCTCAGGACTCCTGGGTTCTATTGGCTCTGGGAGCGGAGCGAGCTCTCTGGATTAGAGCAGGAGAAGGGGAGCTGGGACTCCTGGATCCATTTCAGCTCAAACTGCCGGTCTTGGTCAGCATCCTACACATTTCATCCCCCAACAAGGGCAAAACTGCCCCCCAGCCCCCACCCCGAAGCTGGTGGGAAGAAAAGCAGCTGGGGCCCTGGGGAGACCCTTCCCTGGATGCTGCGTGGGGAGACCCTTCCCTGGACGGGAGCTGCCTGTTTCTAGTCACCGTCCCCATTTCTCACCGACCTCCCCCCAGCTCTGCTGCGGGGACGACACAGACCCCAGCCTCGTGAAGGGACCCCCCCCTTGTGGCTAAAGGAGGCCCCACGGGCTGGGGAGCCAGAGGGAACCACAGGGTCTGTCTGTGTCCAGCAGCCTCAGGGTTTCCTTCCGTTTGCAGGGGGCGGCCCCATGGACCGCAGCTACAGCTACAGTAACAGCCTGGGGAAGTACTACAGCAATGGTGAGCACAGCGCCCCACTCTGGGGGGGGCTTCCAGGGCCCCGGCGCACGGGCGGGGGGTGATGGGTCCCGCGGTCGTCTCCCCCAGACGCTCTCGGCTCAGGCCGATGGCCTCGTTTTCCTGGGCTGGGGTCTGGGAGGAACGGGAGGGGGAGGAGTCGCACTTACTGCAGCACTGACCCCCATGTCGCAGTGCGGCACTAGGGGCGGCTGTGCTGCAGGGATGGGCGGGGGGCTCAGAGGGGGCGCATCCCCTCGCACTCAGGGCTGACCCCACGTCCAATGAGACTCTGGGGTGGGGGGCTCAGCAGGGCGCGAGGAAGCTGGTCTGGCTTTAGAGAAGCCCTGCGTATCCCCAGAGCAGCTCCAGGCTGGACAAGTTCCCTCCCCTCCCTGCACACGCTGCCCGTGGGCCTCTGCCCTGCCCTGGTGGGACGTCCCGGGGGCAAGAGGGGAGCACGGCGTGCAGGGCCCCATCCAGCCCTAGGTGTCTTTGCTGAGGCCGCCAACGAGGGGCCCAGTTAGCGCTGATTGCGGCCCATGTGCCTGGAGCTAGACAGACCCAGCAAACTCGTCTCCTCCCAGCCCTCCGGCTTCTCCCCATTCCTGTATTCACCCACGCTCCCTTTGCCCTCCTTCTGCCCACGCTCCAGACTACATCAAGGAGGAGGCCCTGCGCGCCAGCAACAGCTCGCTGAACAGCGAGAACCCCTACGCCACCATCAAGGACCTGCCCGAGCTCATGGCCAAGCCCTCGGAGGGCAGCTACATGGAGATGAAATCCCCCGCAAAGCGAGAAATGTCCTACACCGAGATCGGGCTCTTCGAGGAGCCAGCCGCCGGCTCCAGGGCAGAAGGTAGCATTCGGCACCGCGACGGGCTGCGGGACCCCTCCAGTCCCGTTCACTTCACAGCAATGCCAGAGCCTGAATGGCACATGGGGGCGGGCGTGACATGCCACTTGGGGACGCTTGTCCACTGCCGGGCTTTTGCATTTCAGAGGCTACCCCCACTGAGATCGGGGCCCACTGGGGCTGGGCGCTGCACATACCCTGACCAAAATCGGGGCTTCCTCGTGCAGGCACTGCACAGACACCGAATGAATTCAGGGCCCCCTCTGCACACACCCCGACTGAAATCATGGCCCCCTCAGACCGGGTGCTGCATGCGCCCTGACGGAGTTCAGGGCTCCCTCGTGCCAGGCGCTGCACATACCCCGACTGAGATCGGGGCCACATTGTGCTGGATCAAGATCAGGGCCCCGTTGTGCCGGGCGCTGCACAGGCACACACAAAGTGAGGGGTGGTCCCTGCCCCAAAGAGCTCACAGTTGAAAATACATGCAGCATGGGAGAAAGGAAGGGTCCTTATCCCCATTTTACAGACTGATCTCCCAAGTTCTTAACCACAAGCCCATCCTGAGACACTTTCAAAGGTGCCTTCGGTAATGCCCTTGTCTTTCCTCTTCTCCTCCCTCTAGAGAGTTGCCCCCCGGGGGCAGAAGGTGTGTCTCCAGCAGCCCCCAGCTGCCCCCCCAACCATTACGACTCCCCCAAAAACAGCCACATCCCCAGTCACTACGACATGCCACCTGTCCGGCACTACCCCCCATCCCCGCCACTCCGGAGGCAGGACCGGTGAGGAGCCATGGGGCGCTGTCTCTGTCCGTCCGTCCATCCTCCCCTTCCTGGCTCTGTCGGCACTTCCCAGGGGAAGGTGGAGGACTGGCTCTGAAGCCCAGTGGGAGGAGAGCCGTGGCGGGACCGTGGATGGCCATTTACCGGCACCCCCCTGGATTCACCCGGAGCCTCTTTGTCTTCGCTTGTACAATGCAACAGCCGCTAAGGACTATGGAAGGGGGGAGTTGGACCCCTTGCCCCAGCCGCTTGGGGTTGAATACAGCTCATCACCTTCCCCCAGGCGGGGGTTCAGAGTCTGAGACGTTCACCTCCGGATCCTGAGCCTCCCGCATGCAGCAGGGATGTGGATCGTGGCAGGGTGGTGTGGCCTCAGCTTGCCCCATGTTCGCCCCCCCCATCGGTGTTTGTCTTCAGGGTGGGGTCCCCAGTCAAGCCATGGGCAGGTGTGTTCTGCCCCCAGGGCACGGCTTCGCACTGAGGGGAGGCCTGATCCGGAGGAGAAGCCTGACGTGAACGGGACACCTCGGGGCTGGGGCGCAGAATGGCAGGTGTTCCTGTGAGCCCCCCGAAAGGGACTGATAACCCAGCAGGGCAGCTGCAGACGCTGGACCGCTGCGCCCTGCTGACACAGACTAAACGCCCCAAGACTGGCCCCGCTGCAGCCCCGGGAGAGGCATGGCTGGGAAGTGAGACGCCACCGAATTCGGCTCCCAATCCGGATTCCAGCCTGTGGAGGGGGACTGGATCTGGGCTTTTCGCTCGGCCTTGATTTGCATCTAGACTCAGCTTCCGAACGCCTGCCTGATTTCATCCGGCCCCCAGCCCCTGGAGATGGGCCGTAGAGGACGTTTGCGCTGTTAGGGGAAGTTGGTAGCTCTGAACCCAAACTTCCCCCCCCCCATTCAACCCCCACCAGCGGTCCCACCACTGTGAAGCTGCTGAGGGTTCAGAGCCCCCCTTCCCATCCCAGCATACACCCCCCCACACACACCTTGTGCAATATACCGGCCTAATGGGTGTGAGTGTGTCTCCCCCTAGAGGCCAGCCCCAGCAACTGTAACAGCCTGCTACTTAACTTACCTGCAGCAATGGGAGCGCCTCCTTGGCTCAGGTGAGAGAGGCCAGGGCTAGCGTCTCTCTGCACATGGTCTTAGATTATGACACCTCCAGGGGGAACAGACTAGCCCAGCAGGCTGAACTTGGCCTAAGGGACATAGCTGGGTTTCCTTCCCTTTCTGCTCCGGGAGAGCTGGGAGCTGTAGAGGTCGATACGGCTCCAATGTGCATGTAAATAAAGATGTTTGTGTTGTTTTTAACTATGCAGCTGTCTATTTTTTGGCTCAGCCTCCACCCAGCTGCTGGCATCACCCCACAGGCTTATGGTCAGGGTTCGGCTATGAGATTAAACAGGACCTGGGATGAGCAAAGACGCTGGCCTCCCAAATGTCACCCTTTGGCGAGGAGGGGATGCTCTTGCATGGGCTGGGGGGTTCCAGTAACAACTCGAGGCCCCAACCAAAAGTGGGGACCCGTTGCGCTAGGCGCTGTACGTACAGACTGAGAGACAGTCCCTGCCTCAAAGAGCTGACACTCCAAATAGTCAAAGAAAAGATTAACAGAGGGTCCTGTGGCACCTTTAAGACTAACAGAAGTATTGGAGCATAAGCTTTCATGGGTGAATGCCCACTTCATCAGATGCAAGACTGTTAAAAAGAAAAGATTGTTATTCCCGTTGTTCAAATGGGGAAACTGAGGCACTGAGCGGCGAAGTGGCTTACCATGGGTCACACACCCCAGGAATAGCACCCAGATCACCTGAGTCCCCATACAGTGCCTTAACCACAAGCCCATCCTGGGAACATAGGGAAACCACCGTGCTCAGTGGGAGAGGTAGGACATTTTTCATTGTGGTGACATCACTGCCTCCAAACCCTGCATTAAGAACAAAACTGATCTTTAAAGTGGTAAAAGGGAGACAGTCTCGCCCAGCAGGTAGAGCACAGAACCAGGACTCCTGGGGTCGACTCGATCTGTGCCTTTGGCTGGCTCTCTTCAAGTCTCTGGGCCTCAGTTCCCCCATCTGTAAAATGGTGATGCTGATGGCGAGACATGAAGGGAATTGTCCCAGATCACCCCTGCAGTTGCAATCCATGCCGTAAGCCTCTCTGGATTTCTTACTAGCTGGGGGGGCAATTAAACCTGACTAGAAAATGGGATGAACTTTATCCTTTTCTCTGTCCATAGGAGGACAGAACACCTCTGCCATGTAGTGCCCCACCCTGCACCCTCCTCACACTGATTGTCGCACACACTGATACTTTCCACACACACAGGGAGCATTGCACACTGAATTTCCCACAAGCAGGAACTCTCTGGCGCCAGCAGAGCCAGGCAGTGGCTTGATAAGACGGGTGGGCATTAGAGCAAAGCCATCTTTAAACCCCGGCTGGCCTGTTCAGCGGTGCCTGGCCTGCAGGGGCTGGAGCCCAGTCTCAAAGGGGCGTGGTGTGCATGGGGCACCCTGATTTCCACAGCTCCCCCCCCCCCAAACTCAGAATGTGTGTGTGTGTGTGTGGGGGGTCCTGTTTCCAGGGGGCTGGGCTAACCCGGGGTGGGCACACAGCACCGACTGCTGCAGGGGCCGAGACCCCGGCCGGACGTCACATACACACACAGGGGTTTCCATGGTGATGCTCACCCCAGTTTTAAGGGTGACAGGACCCCCCCCCATTTCCATGGGGACAGGGTGGTGTCCCCCGATGGGCACAGGGGCTGTCGGTGCCCATGGCCCCAGGTTTGGGGGGGGGTCATGGGGACGCCTCCGCTCCGTCAGTCACACAGGGGTTACCATGGTGACCTGGACCCCCCCCCTCCCAATGTCATGGCAACGGTGC